TCGACCTTTTGTCTTTCGATATTTTGCCCATTCAACCTTTTATCCATTCGACCTTTTGTCAATTCGATCTTTTTCCATACAATCGTATTAATCGATTGTTGAAAGATAAAATGGGTGGCGAACTCTCAAATATGTTTCCCTCTTTAAATAATGAGCAGTACTTTGGAAAATTCAGATAACACATAGTTTCTGTGCGTGTCACGGCAATTTACGAGTTAAATAACTGTCTTTCTCTAGAATATCAGATCGTTGCGAATATTTTTTTAAGCTCTTTTAAACTCTGAGCGAAAATTTTCTTAACAATATAATGTATAATATTTTGTCAATTTTTATATTGGTGTTGTCCTCTTCAACTTTTTGTCCATTTCTACTTTTTGTGCATTCGACCTTTTGTCCCTCTAAGTTAAATTCGACCTTTTGTCAATTCGACGTTTTATCTATTTTACCTTTTGTTCCTTCAACCTTTTTTCCATTCGACTTTTTGTTCCTTCGGCCTTTTAACCATTCGACCATTTCTCGCCTAACTTTTCAGAAGGTCCTAAGTAACAAATGTAAACAAATCGAGTTTATAAATGCACATTGTAACATTTGTACCTAAGAACATTATTCACACACACACATTCAGATTAATGTCAATTGAATTGAGATAGAGATGAACTTGCCTAAGGCTAAAAATCTCTTTAATAAAGCTTAAAAAAAATTGAATTGAGAAAATTCTAAATTAACAAAACGTCTGAAGACCAAATTTGCATTAACGATGTTTCGCTGTAACATAAGACGTTTGACTATGTTCATCAAGACAAACGTCTGAAGTATCAGAAAAACCAAAACAATGCAGATCTGTACTTCGGTCCTTTGTGTTTATACGAGTAAAACGTCTAAAATGTTCAAACAAACCAAAACAATGTGATTGTGCACATCGGAATTTTCATGTCAAGCATTTTTCTACTATTTCCGCGTGGGGGGGGGGGACAATTATCCACGGCCCATACAAATTTTAAAATTTTAAAATGACAATTGTCTACGCATGGGGAGGGGGGGTCAAGAATACCGAAAAGCTGTCTACGTAGTTAATGAACAGCCCCTAAAATAACACTGTTATCAATAAAAAGCAGCTCACGCGACCACCAACGATCGATCAAAACAATCTGTGGCAGTGTTGCGATATACCGTTAAAAAAAAGTTGATGCATTGTCCAATACTCATTTTGTTCGTTTAACTCGTATTACTTAAATTATGCACTCATAATGCTTAAAAACAAACAAATAATGTTCAAAACATAAATGACCTATGTAACTGTGATTATCACAAAACGTCCTATATAACATGTCCAATGTACACCTGACAAGAGCAAAATGTCCTATGTAACATTTTTCACGTTTTCATAGAAAAAATTGTGTGAAACGGGTAGATTATAATTTCAATTTCAATTTTGCTATCGCATTTTACTATTAAAGGTCTTAAAAATGTCAAAAGTTGATTAGGTTTAAAATAGTATCAAAAAAGATTTTGTCAATCTTCAACCTCGTTTTTCTCGAAAAGAGTGACATGTTAGATAGGACCTTTTGAAAAGTTAGGCGAGATTTGTCAATTTGTCCTTCGACCTTTTGTCAAACTCGGCGGTCGAACTCAGCGGTCGAACTCGGCGGTCCAACTCAGCGGTTGAACTCGGCGGTCGAACTCGGCGGTCAAACTCGGCGGTCAAACTCGGCGGTCGAACTTGGCGGTCGAACTCGGCGGTCAAACTCGGCGGTCAAACTCGGCGGTCGAACTTGGCGGTCGAACTTGGCGGTCGAACTTGGCGGTCGAACTTGGCGGTCGAACTCGGCGGTCGAACTCGGCGGTCGAACTCGGCGGTCGAACTCGGCGGTCGAACTCGGCGGTCGAACTCGGCGGTCGAACTCGGCGGTCGAACTCGGCGGTCGAACTCGGCGGTCGAACTCGGCGGTCGAACTCGGCGGTCGAACTCGGCGGTCGAACTCGGCGGTCGAACTCGGCGGTCGAACTCGGCGGTCAAACTCGGCGGTCAAACTCGGCGGTCGAACTCGGCGGTCGAACTCGGCGGTCGAACTCGGCGGTCGAACTCGGCGGTCGAACTCGGCGGTCGAACTCGGCGGTCGAACTCGGCGGTCGAACTCGGCGGTCGAACTCGGCGGTCCAACTCGGCGGTTGAACTCGGAATTCGAACTAGTTGGTCCAACTCGGCGGTTGAACTTAGCGGTCGAACTCAGCGGTTGAACTCGGAGGTGTAAATTGGAAGGTCAAACTCAGAGGTCAAACTCAGAGGTCAAACTCAGAGGTCAAACTCAGAGGTCAAACTCGGAGGTCGAGCTCGGAGGTCGAGCTCGGAGGTCAAACTCGGAGATCAAACTCGGCGGTCGAACTCGGCGGTCGAACTCGGCGGTCGAACTCGGCGGTTGAACTCGGCGGTCGAACTCGGCGGTCGAACTCGGCGGTCGAACTCGGCGGTCGAACTCGGAAGTCGAACTAGGTGGTCGAACTAGGTGGTCCAACTCGGTGGTTGAACTCGGAATTCGAACTAGGTGGTCCAACTCGGCGGTTGAACTTAGCGGTCGAACTCAGTGGTTGAACTCGGAGGTCAAACTCGAAGGTCAAACTCGGAGGTCAAGCTCGGAGGTCAAACTCGGAGATCAAACTCGGAGGTCCAACTCGGCGTTCGAACTTGCCGGTCGAACTCGGCGGTTGAACTCGGCGGTCGAACTCGGCGGTCGAACTCGGCGGTCGAACTCGGCGGTCGAACTCGGCGGTCGAACTCGGCGGTCGAACTCGGCGGTCAAACTCGGCGGTCGAACTTGGCGGTCGAACTCGGCGGTCGAACTCGGTGGTCGAAACTCTTAAATGGCGATGTGGACTGTCCTCAATTGCTTTCTCAGTTAAACTTCCGTATTCCTCAAAGTATGTTGTGGCAATCATCCCTTCTACAAACAAGGTTTCATTGGACTACACATGGGTACCATGTGCCAATGCCTACTATCATTCGGGCATTCTCTACTGTGGAATCCGCATTTGAATTCGGTGAAACATCAAACTAATTTCGAAACCGATTGAGAAGGTTTTCGATTATTCGTGAAGTCTGTTTATCTGTAGCTTTTTATTTATAGCCTACACACTTAGAAAAGTTCATGTAAATTTAGGTGCTCTAAGAGTGACATATACGAGCGTCAATTTTGACATAAATTTGAGTCATAACAGACGCGAAATATAGCTCAATCCAACGTACTCTTCGTCGAGCAATGAACGTTTCAGTCTTGGAGCACTTAATATTACATGACATGTTTGTTTACGTCTCATCTTTTATGTCAAAGACGGATTCTGTCACTTCAGAAAAGTTCCATGAATTTCAGAAAATTAGCAGTAAATTTTGAGAAGTTTCCAAAATGTCAGAAAATTTCAGAGATGTTAAGAGAATGTTTAAATTCTTCATTTAAGTTCAGTCAACTTCACGGAAGCTAAGACATTTTTTTTGTCAGTTCATTTAAATTCATGGCAGAGATATAAGTACTAGAGAGGGTCTACTATAAGAGAGGGGTGGATTGAAAACAAACTGCCTTGCCAACCTATACCTGGTTGGTTTCTAGCAACACTGCCAATGTAATCAGGAAAGGCACTGCTCGATTTTCTCTGGCCAATACCAGATTGTCAAAGATTGCCTCTCCTCTCATATACTGGACCCTCTCCAATAAGTACTATCATTACTTGTATCGTAAGAAACATACATGTACACTTAGAAATAACTAATTTTACACGTGACGGAATCCATCTTTGACACAAAGGATCAGAGGTTAACCAATATTTCATGTAAAATTATGTGCTCTGAGACTGCAAAGTTCGTTACTCGACGAAAAGTCTTACAGCACCTAAATTTACATGATTTGTGTGTGTGGAGGATGTAAGAAATTCATACTTGATTTGGTTGTACCGTGGAACCCCATTAATCTGAACGACACGTCGTGCATATTAACGAGGCTCATTTTTAAGTTGAACTTCTAGTAACCCTATGACCATCAGAGAAGCGAGTTTCTGGGAACCTTATTTCTCACGTAACATTTGAAAAGGTCATATTCTCGTTGATCGATTATCTTCATCGACTTTCTCTTTGGTTTACCACGGCAACATAATCAAATTTCTCGCTAAGCTCGCAGCACAGTTCGACAGAAGATGATGTTAGCTTGCACTTGAAACAACACACTCAATAGGGAATGCATTTGCAGTCGGGTTATTCGCGAAAGAGAAAATCGATGAAGAGAATCGATCAACAATGATAGGCCCTTTTCTCGTGTTGCGCGAGATTTGCTGTTTTGTTTTGATTCTGAGTCCCGTTTAGGATCATTCTCTTTCACTTTACTCCATTCCATGTGCTAAATGACGCTTGAGCAATTTTTAGATTGTACGGCGTGCAGATTAGCGGGCTTCAAACTAAAAAATGTTCAGATTAAAAACGGTTAGATTACTGGTTTTGGAAATAATTTATTGACAATCATAATTGAATATCATTGCATACACAGAAAACTTTACCCCGGAACTAAGGACCAGTGACGCTAGATGCAATAATCAGTTTCCATACAACTGCGGCAAGGCACATCCACCAAATAAATCTAAATTAATTATATTTCAAGCTACCCAACTCATCAATTCATCACATTTCAATAGAGTCATAAACCCACGTCGGCGGATTAGATACCGAATTCACTCCAGCCACTCCACCATTCCACAAAACCAACCTCCCTCTGCTGCTTCCGCCGATAGGGATTATCTCATGACGTGCCCCACTTTTATTAGGACACAGAATCAAATGCAAATAAATACCAATTAATTAATCAGATAAAATTGCATTCCCACTACTAGGCACTTCCGAACAAGTTATGCACACTAGCATTAATTTCGCTCATTATCCGTCGATAAATTATCATTTTTTTTTTCAAATCGTAAATAATTGCCAAATTAATTCCGCTTCATTAACTCTACTCTGCCGGTTTCAGATCCTGGAGCTGGTGGACGTCGTAGCGATGGGCTCCACATCCGTTCGCCTGGAGTGGCAGCTGCACATCTCCAGCACCGAGGAGTACATCGAAGGCCTGTACGTACGCTACCGCGATTTGGGTACCAATTCGCAAAAGTACAGCATGCTGACCATCCCGAACAATGCCGCCGAAACGCATGTGATCAACAATTTGAATAAATTCACGCGGTACGAGTTTTTCCTGACACCGTATTTTAAGAACGTCGAAGGCCAACCGAGCAACTCGAAGGTGGTGCAAACGTTGGAGGACGCTCCGACGGCTGCTCCGGTGAACATTCAAACCGGAATGCTAAACCTGACGGCCGGCTGGGTCAAGTGGTCAGCACCTCCGATGGAACATCAGAACGGAGTGCTGCTGGGGTACAAGATTCAGGTCAAATCTGGAAACACATCGAAGACGCTCGCTTCGATGACGCTGAATGCGACGACCACTTCGGTAATGTTGAACAACTTGACGACCGGGGCAACGTATCGAGCTCAGATTGTGGCGTTCAACCGAGTCGGTGCGGGTCCTTACTCCAAACCAGCGTACTTGATCATGGATCCAGCTCACGTGATAGCTCCTCCAAGGGCTCACAACTCTCTCAGTGACATAGGAGGCTATCGGCATCATAATTTCATGCACGAAACGTGGTTTATGGTGTTTGTAGTGCTGGCACTGCTGATTATCCTGACCTTCACCGTCGTTGGTGTGATCGTGTTCATCAAGAAGCGACAGAATATGAGCAAGGCCATGGTGACCGTACCGGTCATCACCACTGGAGATTTGGCAAATATGAACCTTACTCGGAAGGATTGCCTCTGGATCGATCGCGGTTGGAGGTCAACGGATACCGACAAGGACTCAGGGCTGAGTGAGATGAAGCTACTGGAGGGGTCGCACAATCCTTCCAACTATACGGACGTCGGCACGGACTACGCTGAAGTCGATCCACGAAACATCGTTTCGTTCTACAATTGTAGAAAGGTAGGTCGGGTATCTTAGTTTTTACATTGCTTTCACGAGTTAACGATATTCTTTGCAGTCACCGGACAACCCTTCGCCGTACGCGACAACCATGATCATGAATGGTCTTCCGAGTGAAAACGGTAAGCTACCCTACCAGAACGGCCCAATGGGCCATGAAACATACTCATCAGCGACGTCAAGTCTCCGCTCGGACATTCCCTACGGCCCGGGTCATCCGAAACCATTCGCCATGCCGTACAGTACAGGTAAGATCTCTCCATCCAATCCTCCTGCTTGTTCCACTATCCTGGTGTGCTCTACCCTCGAATCGGTACTAATCGCTCGAAAACACTGTTCTGTAGCTCCCTCTAACTGGATCGACTTCCTACCTCCCCCACCGGAACACCCGCCACCCATTCCGCAAGCTTTAGATCACCATCTGCACCTGAACCACGTGTACCCTTCGGAGCTGGTCGGAAACACCACCGGCTCCCAGGGATCACGCTGCGGTTCGGGCCTCTCAACCAGCTATAAGTAAGTAGCCTACGCTCCGGCCTCCACCCACCTCGGTTGTTTGTATGCGTGAAAACTAACCTAGAATTCTCTTGTTTCTGTCTTCCCTGCACTCTCTAACCCCATCTTTGCTTGCTACCAAACCACAAAAGCGCTCACCACTCATATCAATACGTAGATCCGTCACTGCTGGGACGCGGCTCTTCCCGCAGCAGTAGCAACGAGCTCCGAAGTCCCCCGGGACAACCATCGCAGCCGCAACCGCCGTCTCACCTATTCCTGCCACATCCACCGCATTCCGCATCGTCCCTCACCAACGGGTCCCAGCCGAGTGAGGTGTACTTCAACGACGACATCTACAACAGCCCGGTCAAGAGCTCCGATCCTCCGGGGATGCAACAACCCCCGTCATCGTCACAGCACTTCAAGCTACCAAGTTCCTCATCCGCTTCGTCAATCTCCTGCTGTCCGTCATCGAATCAGTCACACGGTAGTCATCGCTATCAACAGCAGTTCCACCAGCAACAGCAGCAGCAACAGGCCCATCAAGACTTCCTGGAGTATCAACAGCAACAGCTACAGCACCAGCTGGGGCATGCGCCTACGTCGTCCGAGATGCATATTCAGCATCAGAAACGGTGAGTGGGGAAGTGGGAGGGTGTATTTGTAGTTTACCACCCAGGATAAGGATTAGGAGCTTTTTCTGCGATTAAGGAAGGATAAATAAGAGACGATTATTGAAACTTGTTGTTTGATGTTGAACAAGTCCCCAAGAATCAACAGAAGTCAAACCATATTCATAAAGTCTATGTGCGTCCCGAAAGGATTTTTTTTTCTTTATTATAGAGATTTTTAGCCATAGGCTAGTTCATCGCTTAACCCCGAAAGGATAATGCAATGTGTTTGAGAGACTGTTGAAAACAATTTCATCCTTCTTTGACGACAATCACAAAGCATTGTATGAAAAGCCGAGAGGATTTCGGAACAATATGTTTAGGGGCTTAAGGATCGATTTCAAAGCAACTCCAGATTAATTTGAGAGGCTGTTGAGCAGGTCCACGCCAAATGACGAATCGAAAAAACTCAACCTTCTCCGATTTGCATGAAACTGTGCATAATTGTTTGTTATGGGCAATCATTCGCATATTATGCTAACATTCGGCACACACTATCTTGTAATTCTGCAAATGTTTGAGTTACAGTGTATCTCAAAATTAATCGTACACCCTAGAGGACATTTTTAGTGGTGGTTGATTTAAGTACAGCTGTATGATCAATTTTGAGATACACTGTATATTCCAACAAATCTATTATCCATATTTCCAAGCAGCTTTTCAAAATTTCTCTTTGGTTAATTTATTTATCAACATTATAGAGATTTTCAGCCATAGGTGATCATTAGGCATAGATTCAGGATTGTAGTCAATAGTTTCATCATTAAGTTTGAGCCAAAAGGTAACTTCACTTTGAATGCTCCTCTGAGTTCCCGTATAACGCTCCCTGAAATTCCTTCCGAATTGCCTTAGAGTTTCCTCGAATTCTACTCGCAATCCCCATAATAGTCTTCAGAACTAGTTAGGAATTCATCTTTAGTTTGCCTTGAAATTTTCTTGGAATTCGTTTAAAAACCACCAAAAATTTCTAGTCAAACTTCTTTTGGTTATTCTACCCAGAATTATATTAGGACAATTCCATCAACTCACAGTGTTCACTGGGCTGTCGACAGAAGCAGGCCACTCTCGATGTGTGTCACGCGATTGTCTGTTTACTCGACAGCAACCATTGTGTGGTCCTCCTCATTGTTCTTCATCAGCAGTTCTTTCGGTCGATGCGTCGTCGACTTTGGAAAGCAACCGTTTTGTGATAAGTGTGTGTGTGATGACCACGTGTTGCGTCCATTGCTGCAATGGAAGCGCTCTGCTCCTCGTTGGCGATACTGCTATACAATGAAACTACTGGAAGCGGCTCCCGTTCTGATGGAGGAGGCTTATTGGATAGTGGAAGATAAAGCATTTATTGTGTTGTATATTTTGACTATAGTTTTAAGACGTATTGTATAGTGAACAAGAATCCTCGGCTCTGTAAAGTAAATTCGATTGAGCCTTATCAAATCAATTAATGAAGAACAATTCCCTCAATTTAGTACGCATTCTCATCATAATTCAGAATCTTGAATTTGTGTCTAAGTCCAACAGCAATGATTTTTTTTAAATCTACGAACTTTTAAGTACGCCATATTTGAAGTGAGAAATCTTGCTCCATGAATGTAAAAAAAACATGTCTTGCCGCAAAATCTTGAAAGTTTTCTCATTTTATCTTCAAAAAATTTCATAGTCGAAGGATTCAATTTTTTTTTTTTTTAATTTCTAAGCTATGAATTCCTTGAAGTGCCCTTCGAATAATGTATATGTTTTTTAATAAATTTAATAATACATCATTTAAAATGTCAAGCTTCAGAACAGCATCTGTATTATGTATCATAATTTGATGATTTGTTGCTATCTTGAAACCTTATAAATTTTTGAAAATTCTGAAAAATTATTTTATTGCTCGATTGAAGGTGAAAGAAGGGTTTTTTCTCGGTTTTCTGAATTTAAAATAAAATGCCGTAACTTTTTCTCCACTGACATCAATTGCAGAAATCAATCATGCCAGTATTTTTTTCTTACCATATTTTGCTTTTTACATAAAACCAGAAAGAAATATGTTGCGCACCCCGGAAAAAAAGAGGAAAACCTTAATTTCATAAATGCAGTGGCCACCCTGCAAAAGATCGAGTGGACAAAAGGTTGAAATTGACAAAAAGTTGAAGTGGGCATAAGTTCAAAAAACCAACATCAACACTTACAAAATATTGCTAAGAAATGTACACATATAGGGATGTTATATTCGACCTTTTGTCCATTTGACCTGTTGTCCATTCGTCGTCCAATTCGACCTTTCTCCTTCTAAGTTCAATTTGACCTATTTTCAGCTAGACTTTTTGTTTTTCTAAGTTCAATTCAACCTTTTGTCCCTCTAAGTTCAATTTGACCTTTTTCCTTTCGACATTTTCTTCCTCTAAGATCTATTCGACCTTCTGTCCTCCTAAGTTCAATTGGACTTTTTGTCCCTCTTAGTTCAATTTGACCTTTTGTCCCTTCGAGCTTTTGTCCCTCTAAGTTCAATTCAATCTTTTGTCCATTCGACCTTTTATCACTATAAGTTCAATTCGACCTTTTGTCCCTCAAAGTTCTTCAACCTTTTGTCCCTCTAAGTTGAACTTTTTCCCTTCGACATTTTGTAACTCTAAGATCAATTCGACCTTCTGTCCCCCTAAGTTCAGTTGGACCTTTTACCCTTCTAATTTCAATTCAACCTTTTGTCCATTTGACCTTTTGTCCCTCTAAGTTCAATTCAACCTTTTGTCCATTCAACCTTTTATCACTGTAAATTCAATTCGACCTTTTGTCCCTCAAAGTTCTTCAACCTTTTGTCCATTCGATCTTTTGTCCCTCTAAGTTCAATTTGACCTTTTTCTCTTCGGCATTTTGTCCCTCTATGTTCAATTTGACCTTTTGTCCCTCTTAGCTCAATTTGACCTTTTGTCCCTTCGAGCTTTTGTCCCTCTATGTTCAATTCGACCTTTTATCACTATAAGTTCAATTCGACCTTTTGTCCCTCAAAGTTCTTCAACCTTTTTTCCCTCTAAGTTGAACTTTTTCCCTTCGACATTTTGTAACTCTAAGATCAATTCGACCTTCTGTACCTCTAAGTTCAATTGGACATTTTGTCCCCCTAAGTTCAATTGGACATTTTGTCCCTTCGAGCTTTTGTCCCTCTAAGTTCATGTCAAACTATTGTCCATTCGACTTTTTATCACTGTAAGTTCACTTCGACCTTTTGTCCCTCAAAGTTCTTCAACCTTTTGTCCATTCGATCTTTTGTACCTTTAAGTTCAATTGGACCTTTTTCCCTTCGACATTTTGTCCCTCTAAGTTCAATTGGACCTTTTGTCCCTCTTAGCTCAATTTGACCTTTTGTCCCTTCGAGCTTTTGTCCCTCTATGTTCAATTCAACCTTTTGTACATTCGACCTGTTATCACAACCTTTTGTTCATTCAACCCTTTGTCTTTTGACCTTTTGTCCCTCGACCTTATTTCGATTTTTTGTCATAGATTCGAAAAAAAGTTCGAATGGACAAAACGTCGAAATGGACAATAGATCGAATGCACAAAAGGTTTAATGAGCAAAAAGTTCGAAATTTCCTGTTGGTAGAAATGGACAAATGGTCGAATGGACAAATAGTCGAATGAAATTAAAATGAGCTCAAAGGGTAGAAATGGACAAAAGGTCGAAAGGTCGAATTAGACAAATGGCTGAATGGTCAAAAAGTCGAAATGGACAAAAGATCGAATTAACAAAAGGTTGAATGGACAAAAGGTTGAAATGACTTAAAGGTTGAAATGGACAAATGATTTAATGGACAAAAGGTCGAGATGGTCTAAAGATCAAAATGGACAATTGGTCAATGTAGACAAAAAGGCGGATTTAATTAAAATGAGAACCAAAGGTTGAAAAAGACAAAAGGTCAAATTACTATGAGCGAATCATTTTTTCCTAAAACCGATAAATTGAAAGGCCTTTTGAAACAATATAAGAGTGCATAAGAAACAAATTAGGTAATACAGGAGGACGACTTCAGAGCACCTCGTAGGAAATCAGAGGGTGCTTTGAAAATTAGTACAGCGGGCCAGAAATGAAATCTAACATAATAACGCTCTGGGATTGCATCAATTGAGTTGAAATCTTCAGTGAAGTTTCTTGGGTTAGTTAGGACAACAATTTGGTGGATCAAAATAGTTGAAAATTTTGCCGCAAAGATAGCGCAGCAAAACAAACTTTTTTATTTCGCAAGATAGAGGATTGCTGTCCTGAGCAAACGTAAAATTTTATGAAAAGTTGCCCAAGACATAAAAGATTCTTCTTCTTCTTCTTCTTCTTCTTCTTCTTCTTCGCATTTCAAGCTTATTGCATATCGCATATTAGCTTATTACGTGCTCTCAACTTAGTGTTCTAGATGCACTTCCACAGTTATTAATTGAGCGCTTTTGATGCCTGTACCATTTTTGCATTGGTATAATTGTGTGGCAAGTACAATCATACTTTTATGCACAGGGAAGTCAAGACATTTTCCAACCCAAAAAATTCCTTGACCGGACCGGAAATTGAACCCAGCCACCTTCAGCATGGTCTTGCTTTGTAGCTGCGCCTTAACCGAAGCTGTTCTACCTGTTCGATAATGCCTTGCAAAGTAATAGCATATTTTAACTTTATTTTGCTTTATGTTAGCACTTGTTATACGTAAACGAGATGTGGTGAACACATGCACATGGTACTTTATGGCCTCACAACTGGATCTCGAATGATGAGCTCCATCATCGATGTCATCAGAACCGGATACTTAAAAAAAATGAGAACGTAAGTAGATATGGTTCGGCCACACAGAATAAGGGGTGGAAACGAAATCTGCATCGGAATTCGACTGGACATTGCAGCAGAGGCAGACCTAGGGGCTTATGGCGGCAGAGCCTCAACAAAGAAATTAAACAAGTTGACAAGAATATGACTTAGGCCCAGAGCAATGTGACAGCTAGCA